CATTTCCAACTTGATGCACTGGTAAACTGTACCAATTATGTATTCTTGGGGAGCCAAGCACTTTATGAAGTAGTGGAGAGGCACCTTCACACAGACAGATGCACAGTTTAGTGTGTTCTCAGAAGATAGGGTCCTTTACCTTTGATAATGCTAACAGATGTGCAATAATTGTCAACATCAAGCTCTATTTTGTGATTCCCATGGAGTTCTTGGGGATTTTAGGTGAACCCAGGGGGGTTGAAAGGCAGCAAAAGTGGTTCCAACAAGACAGAATTATACCCCATACATCAAATGATGCACAAGATTGGCTTTGGGACCACTTCAATGACCACCTTATCAGCAGTTCAACAAACAATGAATGGGCACCCCATAGCCCAGATATGGCCCCATTTAATCTTTACCAGTGGGGATACCCCAAAGATACAATGTAGGGTAGAAACACCAGAAAGACATTTGACCTCAAAATAAAGATCACATGTGTCATTCAGGCCATACTTGCTGAGGAATGCTGTTATGTCATTGACAGGTTTGGAAAACATGTGCAGGTTTGCCTACAGCACGATATTGGAAAACTGGGGCACCTTGTTTAAAGTGCTGTAACATTGCAACTATCAGTCCAATGATCATGAAATAATACAGTCTAGTATGAAATTGAATGATGTACATGAGTGCCAAATATCAGGGCAAAATTTCAAAAAATGACAAAGATATGAGGAAAAATTAGGGTTGTCATTTTTTTTGACCACCCTGTAGAACTAATTGCAAACGGGTTTAAACTGATTAAGAACGTATTTAAGACTGCTTATGAACGAGTTAGCAAAAATATAGCTATCACACCAAACAAGTTGCCACTGCGTTCTTCGAAAATGGTTTAAACTGTGTGCAAACGGAATGAACGTAGCTGCAACTTTCTAAGGTCTATTTAAGAACTTCATGAACGTTCTCAGACGGGAAGGTGATTTTAGAATTTTGAATCGATTCATACCGACCATACCGTTCTGTAATCAGGTCATGCTGACCTTCTAGACTAAGGGACGCGTTATACGACGTTGCACACCGACCTGGTGCGACCTGAACGAACTGCGAATGAGATGGACGTATTGAAGACTGTTTATGAACGAAGTAGCTAATTAATTTACACATATTTCCCGACCACAGCCAGATTGAGCCCGTTTTACGACTTTTTCGTAGGACTGGCAAGAACGGGTAAAAACTAGTTTGGTGTGATAGGGGGGTTAGGAGCGTACGGCTCATATAAGCGCTACGGATTTTAAACGCCATGACAAAACGTTTCCAAGGAATGATTTTAAAAAGAATTTATTTCAGGTGCATTCAACAACGTCTCAGGAACCACGTTCTTGTGACATTACTTCAAGGTTACTCATTTCATATGAATCAAATTTTACAAGTTGAGAACTATTATGCCTTGGTCACATATGCTCCGATCTATCGGCCGGCGCCCGGCCGATTGAGTGTTTTGATCAATAGTGTATTCAATTTTGAACAAAAAACTCAATCGGCCATCAGGTGCCGTAGAGAAAATTGGAGCAAATGTGACCAAGGCATTACTCTAATTGCTCCTTTATGACATGGGCTTAGCTTTCAACTGGATTTGAAAGCTCATGCTTATGCCTACCTCACATAGAGCATCCGATTCTTCGGTCGGCGCACGGCCGATTGAGTATTTTGTTCAGAATTGGATTTATTTATATCGTGATGTCATTTTTTGGTTTGTGTGCCCGACAGTGAGCTATTTAGGCATTTTCGGGAATACTACAACGGTAGTTCCATTTAAGCCCCAGACACATTTGCTCTACGTTGGACGTATGGCGGCCGTCGCTTCAAAAACTCGATACAGAAAATCCACATCGTAATTGCTTAAAAATTTTTTTGAAAAAAAAGTTGTGAGCATTTCATTTCTCAAATATTCAAATTTCCCACCATTTTTCTAAAAAAGTTGAAATTTCTTAATCATCAAATATTTCTTAATGCATTTCAAAAAAGATTATCTTTTTAACACCAATGCAAAGATTGAACAAAGGACACACTATTTCAATAATAAAATGCCATATTTAATGGGCCACTTCAATGTTTTAGCATATCAAAAATATTTTGAAACATTAGTGATGTCACTAAGGTAACAAAAACTTTTTGAAAAAATTTTTTTTTCGATGTCAATCTTTTCTAAATATGCTAGACTTTCATAAAAAACCAATGTTGATTGTCTAACCAGGTTTAAAGGAAGAATAAATTATGTTTTAGATATCACTGTACCATTGGTTTCTATGAGAACTATAATTTTGAAATGCATTTTTCTCAGAACCATTTTCATGCACTGATAAGTTCATTTCTCGCTTGTTTATCAACCGATTTTCATGGGAGGATGAATGCTATGCATTGGTATGAATTGTGGCTAATTAGAAGATATGAGTGACCTCTAAAAGTTGGTTTTAAATAAATTCACAAATTTTGGAACAAAAAGTCTATCAAAAACCACTTTTTGAAATTTAAAAAAAAAGTTTCACATATCACACTTTGATAACATTGGGTAAGACTACAATATAAGCCAAAGTGGTTTAAACTTTACATGGGGCCTTTAAATGGAGGATGGGATGATGAATTATTTCATCCTAGATTCCCCACTATTACCACATTGCAGGGCCTGTTCTAGGGATTTTAGTGCTAGTTGAGAAGGCATTTAAATTGCAATATTGACGTGAGCAATATTGTGTCGGGCGTTAAAGGCCCCATATAAAGTTTAAACCACTTTGGCTTATATTGTAGTCTCACCCAATGTTATCAAAGTGTGATATGTGAAACTTTTTTTTTAAATTTCAAAAAGTGGTTTTTGATAGACTTTTTGTTCCAAAATTTGTGAATTTATTTAAAACCAACTTTTAGAGGTCACTCATATCTTCTAATTAGCCACAATTCATACCAATGCATAGCATTCATCCTCCCGTGTTTTTTGCCGAAAAAATTAAGAAAATCAGTTCATAAATAAGCGAGAAATGAACTTATCAGTGCATGAAAATGGTTCTGAGAAAAATGCATTTCAAAATTTTAGTTCTCATAGAAACCAATGGTACAATGATATCTAAAACATAATTTATTCTTCCTTTTAACCTGGTTAGACAATCAACATTGGTTTTTTATGAAAGTCTAACATATTTAGAAAAGATTGACATTGAAAAAAAAATTTCAATTTTTTCAAAAAGTTTTTGGTACCTTAGTGACATCACTAATGTTTCAAAATATTTTTGATATGCTAAAACATTGAAGTGGCCCATTAAATATGGCATTTTATTATTGAAATAGTGTGTCCTTTGTTCAACCTTTGCATTGGTGTTAAAAAGATAATCTTTTTTGAAATGCATTAAGAAATATTTGATGATTAAGAAATTTCAACTTTTTTTGAAAAATGGCGGGAAATTTGAATATTTGAGAAATGAAATGCTCACAACTTTTTTTTCAAAAAAAATTTTTTGTTCAAAAATCTCTAAAATCACTTTTTAAGTCCTGACAAATAGTAAATGAATGATAAAAATATATTTTCAAACTTTAGACGGGGACTTAAATGACTTTAGTCGGGCAATAATGACATTATCCGCCCGGCTATGTTTCCCGGGAAAAGTGATATCGTTCAGTGCGTAAGATTTTCTATTTCAAATTTGCTATTTCAGCCCTGGGCATTAACGGTGGTAATAATAGTATTCATTTCTGCGGGCAAAAAAGTGAAATATTGGACCTTGGGCCTGCGGCCCTTGGTCCAATATTTCACTATATATCCCTTTGAAATGACGTTATTGTACTATTGATAAGAAGTATAAATTCTCGAAACTGAGAATAAACCTATTTTATTCTGATTCTAACAGTTTGCCATCAGGGAGCCTTATTAGTACAATTAAATGATAATTTAATTAGCCCAATTAAAGGGATATGTTTCATAACTTACTTAGAAACATCCCTTAATTAGCTTAATAAGGCTAATCATCTATTGATTCTTATTAAATCAAGGTGGGACATACGTCCTAAAGATACTTTATTGTTTGGATTACCTTAATATGTTAAATTGTTATCTATTTTACCCTAAATTTCTTGGTTCAAGGGTGGGTTGTGGGTTGTTTTCAGTAGTCATACTTCTTTGAAGTTCAGTGGAATAATGAAGTCCCAGTTACCTCATGACCTTGACATCAGTCATGTGATCTTTGTCCAGGGGATGGATCATTCTTGCTTCATTTTTATATACTTGCATATGTACTACTCCCCTCAACAAACTGTTTATAATTTCATAAATCTAATTATTGCATAATTATTATTAATGTAAGAAGAAAATGCAAACGAGTCAACCATTTATTTTGAGTGCGTCGAGTGTATATGGAACGTGCCATTTGTAAATTCAACTGCCGGCTGCCGGCTGACGACTTGACCTACTGTTTTATGACCAACTCATACAAATAAGAATAGTACTTGCTACTATTCATATTTAAATACAAATATGTTGACTATATAATAGCGGTCAAATCGTTAGCCGACAGCCGGTCGTTAAAATTAGCGAACGCTATCAAAATCTATTCAAAAGTAATCGTCTCATGTAGGAATCCAAGGCATAAAATGGTCAGGATTGGTGAACTTTACCTGTTCGTGAATTAAACTTGCTAAAAAACTTGTCTATTATGTTATGATAAACTAAATAAATCTGATAACTATATTTGTGAAAATCTTTTTGATATATTTATATACTTGGTATTAATCTGGAATGATTCATGATGAAGTAGTCAGTTTATGCTCAAAAACAAATTTTGAAAATATAAAATCTTAGAATCGATTTAGAATAACCAAGTCGGTGTTGGGACTCGGTTGTCGAAGTAGGTGAATTTGCAACAACCCTTAAATCCTTAAACGGAGCTCCATGACAACACATTCTGTTGTTCTAGCTTTTCTTGCCTAAAGACAATCAGCAATCATTCTTGGCCTAGGATTGGAGTCATTGTGTGTTAGAGGCTTATGGCCTCATAAAATCATGAAAACAACTTAAGTAATTAATTTTGTGTATAATATATTCCTCAATTTATTACATCATCACACAACAAATGCATGCATTTTTCTTGCTATACATAAAATAATTACATCGTTTGAAACAATTTGACAAGTTGATGTATAATACTTTCAGTGTTTTTCTCCCACTTGTTTTGGAATTCATAAATAAGGCTACATGTAAATTTGTATCTACCAAAATATTTTAATTTACATCATCTTAGGTACATATATATTTAGCTACCTTTGTAAGTGTAAGCTTCAATCTAGATTATATACATAATTTCACTTTGTAGTTAGTATTACATTTAATACATTGGCACACTGGGCTGTATGAGGAAATTGTAGTGATGTTATAACACCCTGTTTTATTTACTATTTTAATACATACACTTTCTGAAGACTGAACTACAGAATTAGACATTTTTCACAATGGGTTCAATGAAGGGTATTTTGCATTCTCCTCTCTTACATATACATGTATTTAAGAAGACCCCGTAATATATTTTTATCTGAGAAAATACTACAACATCTTGCATTTCTGACCCACCATTTGGGATCCTATATACATCACGCCATCATTTCTGCTATTTTTACTTGTGTCACTGTTACATACTGATGATGCAGGTGTTCAATCATTTTAAAGATTATGTTGACGACAACCACATGCACAATTATGATGAAAAGCTGCCATGACATTTTACATAGAAACGATACAATAACTATGTACTTCCATCAAAGAATTTGAGCACTTTTCAAAATGAAATTATTAATTCTATAGAACATAGTATAACAATTACACATTGAGCAAACTCAACCTAAATGAATCAGCAACCACAAACATGTAAGTACTGACTACTAGTATTCACACACTGTTACTTAAACATCTCCAGGTAACTCAGTCTAGTATATGTTCCATACAGTGCAACACGAAGTCCCAAAACGCGTGACCCATGTGTGAATTGCCATCTATACGAGTCAGTGAGACAACTCCAACGACGAAGCATTAATGATGGTGATCAAGCATTGTGTTTTTATAACATCTAGAAAGTGTGGTCATTTGTGACACTATCCTAATTGCTAGTCAAGTTTATATTCTTCGCCGGGTACACCCATAATGGCTCGTTGTACAAGGATCGTAAATTTTTCTGGAATGCAAATTAAAATCATTTTATCATTCTTGATATGATCACTTTTTCCATTTCAATCAGTGTTTGAGTAATCATAATTCATATTGATAATGCTCTAAAAATGAAACCACAAACATTTGTCTGAAAAATATTATACCCAAATTCATCTATTTCGCAACTTAATTCCAAAGTGCGTTCAAAATAAACAAGAGCTCTTCCCTGTTTGTTTTGAAAAATACATGTGATTTTGTAAGCCTGGATCATGAGATAAAACAGAACAGGAAAGGCAAACACTGTATTAGTAAGTGGAGAAATATTCTTACGATTAAGCCGTCTAATAACTTTGGGTTTTTTCTTCCAGAGAATAAATATCCAATACACTGGTATACCTGAAAAATAAGATACAACTATGAAAATAGCTATTTGAACAATTTAAATGACAAGCAAAAATACTTGATTGGTTATTGATTTGTTGAATCATAATTCTAAGGCTGATATAAAGATGGCGCATCGAAAGTAGATTGCAAGATTGTGCTGCCAGCTTTATTACAAAATTATTTCTATTTAGGCATTTTAGTCCCATTTAATTATTTTTCTCAATAACAAAGAAAACCTACCAGTTATAATAACAATGACAGCGTACAATGTGTCTTGTGGCGTCAAGACTATTGGGATCACCACTAGGAATACAGAGATTATCAAAAATATAGTCGGCGCCGCAAGGTTAACCTGAAAATACAGATCGCTCGTAATATCATCTATATATACCAGTAAATACTATGTTTTGTGAATTCACAAACTATTATAATGACCGTTTATGATTTTTTGCATTATACAAAAAAGAAGATACCCTGCGTGCAGAGTCTAGTTAAACTACGAAGCTCTCTTTTAAGAAGTGAAGTCAAACGAATGCAAAGGGTAAAAAGAAGATAGCGTTGTCCCTGGTGTAGGTATTCTCATACTAATCACATATATCCATCTCTATATAAACGCGATGTGCTCTTATTTAATCAATCGGTCAAAGCTGGATTGAACACGAAAATATTAATACTCGTAAACTTCTGCACAAATTGTAGTAATTGGCAGTCTCAATTATGGGATCCACAGCCTGTACCATAGACTTGATATATGCCCTCTCAAGTATTAGATAAAGAGGGATAGTCTCCTAAAACATCAGTCCGAAAATTAGAAGATACTGACCTTAATGGGCCTCTTGAGATTTGGTTTACTATAGCGCAAGTAAAGCAATGCGGCTACTGAAACACCTGCTACTAATGCTTCCACAAAGCTGCAGATGTTGATCAACATGAAGATATCCTGAACACCAAGGTAAAATAGAGACATCGTACACTGAAATGGAATAATGAAAATATTATGTCATATGATAGGGGAAGGTATTGCATAGCCAAACCCCGGGAGCCAAACATTGTCTCTAGATATTGACTTTAGACCTCCATGTATATTCATAAAATATGGCTTTCTAGATCAGAATAAACCCTAGCCTGACTTATTGCACAAAAATGTTAATTTATGATAGGCATTATAATGAAAGGTATATTAGTACATGTCCAGTCTAGAAAATCTCTTTACATAGACTTTTTGTACATGTTATTGTAGTTAAAGAGACTTTATGGGCACCCTGAATATGTGTAATCTTGGTACGTTTTGAGGAAGTTACGAGTGATGTGAGTTTCTGTTTTTGAAGACACATACCTCAAACATGAGAGATGGTATCGGAGTGTAAGTGTTGAGACTGATCAGAGCAAGGGCTTCTGGGAGTTGACCCTCTCTTGCCCCGACAAAGAAGAGGCGAGATACGGACATGATGCAGCCATTCAAGCTGCCAAATGTGGAACAGGCCACAAACACAGGCATCACCCAAGCCATCATTCCAAACATCTTCATCGCAAAGCTCTGCAAGAAAAATAATGGTTACTTTCTTCAGTCAACTTAGGCAATATGCAATGTTTGAATTGAATTTGATTTTCCTGCAGTTAATATTCTGTAAATATACATAATGAAAAGCAGGTTTGTGATATATATTGAAATGATTATAGGGATGACATTTACCATCTATATGTAATGCATTAAATGTTTGGTAATAAATGCTTGGGATAACATAACTAATATAATGCCATACGTGCCACCATGACCAGGAATTTATCAATGAGGTATCTAATGTATGTATGTATGTATTCTTTATTTGCGTCTATTCATTTAGACAGTTACATGGTATACATTGATATAAGGTAAAAGAAAAGAGTAATATAAAAGCTACAGGTACAAAAAGTTAAAATGCCTTAACATTGTCTCCCTGGCTCTATGCATAGAGTGAATGTTAATCGAAACAGAACAGAGAGAATCAAGGCTCTCCTGGTCCAAACTCAAATGATTTATACCAAAAATGAAGCTCAACTTTTCATCAATTGTATGGCACTCTCCACTTTCTAAAAGCATGGTAAGTGTATGTCGCTCATGAGAAAGTGCGTCACAACGCAATAAGAAATGTTCCATGGTGTCATTTTCTTTGCTGCACAGAGGGCATAAAGCACAAATATCAAATGGGTAGCAACGTGTTTGCAGTTTGAACATTAGGATACATTGTTTGTTGAGAATAGGACTTTTCTTACTAATATTCCACCATAAAATTGGCTGCATAAATGACCTTACAGTAGGTACAAACATAGTTAAAGAATCATACAATGAGCACATCATGATAACACTATGGGCTTCGTTGCACCTTATTATACCACTCACAAGACGTTTAAAGGCTGATTTGGAGAGAAATTCCCCAGACTCTATCATCTTGAACACCATATTATTCAAATTGTAGCGTTCTAAGGTTTCCCACATGATTGAAAGTGGGGAATTGTGCCGCCCATTCCCCCCAATAAGCCACAACAGTCGATGAATCAGAACAGTTTTGTATATATTGTTCATCGGTAATATTACAATGCTCCAGAAGAACATCAGCCTGGTAAAATCAATCTGTCTTTTTATAGAGAGCCAGCCAAGACCTGCGATAGCAATGGGGTTCGGAGAACTTTTTGGGAGTGCCTGTATCCTCCGTCCGATTTCTCTATGTGAAATTTCCATTTGCTCCGTTTCCCAATGGGTGTAGTCTATCACTTGGCATCCATATAGCAGTTTGCTCATAGAAAAAATCCAATACAGCTTACTTGCCATTAATGGGCATAGACCCCCAGTAAGAGAGCCTAGTCCTAGTAGTGAGAAAAATTTCCGTTTGGATTTGCACACAGTTTGTTTCACAAAATCATTGTGCCTTCCGAGGGGTATTCCTACATGCATCTCCCCTGCTTTTTGTTGGATCACATTGGGCCCTAGTTTAGCAACGTTATTTCCATTTTGATGTCTGCCAAAAACAAGTAACGAACATTTCCCTGGGTGAAAAGTAAGTCTCCAATATGTACTATAGTCCCACACTATACTTAGCAACCTGTTCATATTATGCATACTGAGAGATATGAGCGATAAGTCATCAGCGTAGGCGACTACTGAGACATCAGTATTTCCTATCCGTACCCCACATTGTTCGCCCACAATATCCTTCAACAGATCAGCCAGATAGAATTGGTAGACCAGCATCGACAACACGCCCCCCTGATGGACCCCCTGTTCGACCTTAAAGCTATCCGAGCATTCGCCATCGAACAAAATCGAGCAGTTATACGTTTTGTACGAAGCATACATTATTCTCCAGAACTTGCCGTTCATTCCACATTTGTAAAGTTTGTACAACAAGCCATCAATCCACATAGAATTGAAGGCCTTACGCACGTCCAATAGCGAACAGTATACGGTACCCCCCTTGTCCATACTATGTGATATAGCTTCCTGTAGTAAGAAGGAGGTATGAAGAGATGAGCACGAATCAATCGCGGCACCCTGTAGTTGTGGAATGTGTGCCAGGAAGCGATGTTTGCTACGGGCAAGCAGTACATTGTCGAATAATTTTCTCAGTGAGGACATGAGTGTGATATCACGGTAATGGTCACGGTCCAGTGGGTCCTTATCACCACCCTTGAACAGGGGGATCAGCAGTCCGATACACAGACCATGAGGGATATGTTCATACTTGCGGATAATATTGAAGAAAATACAGAGTACAGATACCAGATTTGGACCTCCAAATTTCAAATGTTCCGCGGAAATGTTATCCAATCCACACGCGCGGTTTGTGTTAAGGGCTCCAAGAGCATCTGTCGTTTCCGTCACAGTTATCGGCAGATCCAGGATTCCATCAACATTCGCCATCGATTCCACTTGCAATGATTTAACACGTCGGTTTATATGAGCGTGGAAATCTTCATTGAAATACGGAGAAGTACTAGGGGTAGCTAGCTTTGAGAAGTGCTTCATCCATGCATCACGAATTTCAGACGGGTCTGATAAAATTGAGCATGGAATGGAATTCAATCAAGTTCAGAACAGTAAAACCTGTTCATTTTTTACCGCATGTAAGTCAATGGGAGATAATAACGTGAGACCGAACAAAACAATTTCACATTGAGAGACGTTCACATATGATAGGTGTTCGAATAAAAGAGGTGTTCGGATAAAAGAGGTGTTCAGATAAGAGAGGTGTTCAGGTGAATTTTACTGTATTTACTTACCACAGCTACAGCGTCCGAGCCAAGTATTTCTGCAGGCGTCAGTATTGTAAAATATGCAACGTTGGCCAGTACGTATATGACTGTCACCAACGGTAATGAGATCCATATTGCCCATGGCAAGTTACGATAGGGATTCTTTAACTCCTCCGTGAGAAAGTTTAACGAATACCTGGAAATGGTAATTATGAATTATTAGATGCTTGAAAAACTGTAATTAATGAAAAAGATGTCAATTAGACCTAAGATTCGAAAACATAACATCGGGCTAGGAAAACTCATTCAATAAAGAAAAACACGGTCTCCGCGCCAGAACATAATGTTGACGTAACAACGGACAGATGGACGGGTGGTTATCCTACAGGCTCATGCATTTGAATTCCCATTGCAAGATAAAAAAAAGATGGCACTTTTCATTCATGTACCATCAGGGTATCTCATAAATGATTGAAATGAGGGAAACGACCATTAAGTCACACTGATTAGTGTAAGACATGACATTCGCATGGGAAACGGTAACTCAAATTACTTCTTATTTGATAATTTCCTGGTATTTTTGGATCATCTTCATTAATCATATTTTTGCAAGGTGATGTCGGGAACTTATTAGTATTTCTGTTACCTAGTCAGCAAGTATCCATCAGTTATAATGATCTGGTTTTAATGATAATTTAATGATAAATTGTGTTTAATGAAAATGTATTCTTCCTTGAACTCAATTGTTACGTTGATTGATTGATATGATAGCCCTGCCCTACATATAGATCCTAGATACAGTTTAGGTCATGCAAAAAACCTTCAGTAAACGATACAAACAAAAATCTTACGTTTGAGATGAGTGACCTTATGTAACTTGAAAATAACTCATGGGAGAAAACATGTTGAACATCTTTAAAGCTAGAATCAGAGGTATTTATAGTGGACCTATAATTGTAATCAACACCCTGCAGTTTGAACTAATGTGAACCGTAACATAACAAATACAAGACCCCAAATGTGAAATTCATGAAGCTTATTGCACAATATTATTCATGTTATCATGTCAATGAACCTTAAATTCGAAACATATCTTTGATATATAATATCTGGCATGAATGGTTTTAGTAAGGTATGCTACTCCACGATCTGTTCATGATTCCAATTGGCCACAAAATGAGCATTCCATGCCATGGTCCAACCAACGTAAATGTAGTTTTTTGAGGATTGAATTATGTCACAATCTCCGACACTGATTTTTTGGTATTTAATGATGCAAATATGGTTTTCAGATATGCTCATACCGAAGAGGGTATGAATTTAACATTTTTCTTTGAGGGGAATGAAAAACAGACCCCCACCCCTCAGCTTGTGGCTGTCGACGCTTTCGGTGGGCGTGTAACCCCCTCCCCTTTGGGAAATCCTCCGGACGAGCATATAAAAAGATATTGCTCCCTGTGTCCGATTCTACCTTTAAGTTGCATTAAATAATCACTATCAAGAGATCAAGAAACGATTCCATTTGGTTCAGATTAACATAGTCTATTAACATAGTTAAGTTAACCTTGGAATTTGATCACCTCAATGAAAATCGCACCTTGGAATCCTGAGAGAAAGGTGTACGTAACCCGGATCTATTACGCCACTTGAAAGCGGCAGATGGTATACTTTAACGGAGGGGTTTCTAAATAAAGTTGTGATATGCTAATAATAGTTCATGGGAAGCAAACGCATAATACGTCATACCAAGCTCGGGGTTTCCTTTAAAGCAGATGTAGATAGGCCCTCGTTGCCATGGATACTATAACTCTATCTGATGTTACATTAGTTACAGAACATTGTACGTAGCATTTAGTCAGTTCGTTCGTTCTAGTCAGAGCAACCAATGTTAAAAATTCTCAACACTATCCTAAAGTTAAGATTGATTTCAAACACAAGATTTCAATGTTGATTCCATTTTTTATGATAACATTATTCGTCTCATGGTATTCCGATTTTTCTGTGTCAAAAATCAACATATCAACAAGTACTTGACGTTAACCCATTCAAGGTCAACAACTAACAATAACAAATAGTTATTATCATAATTTACCTTTCCTCAAGAGAGACTCATAAATGATCTGTTTTACGGCAATGAATATGTTTGCTGTAATCCATTCTATTGCAGAAGGACAACATTATTGATTTCCATGGAACGTTAAATACAATTTATATGCTTGGATTGGCTCGTTTGAAATGTTGCTCTATTGGTTGCTAGATAGGGCGAAATGGAGAATTGTATCTAGAGGAGGCAGGTGCTGATCTGGAAACTAACAAGCCCCCTCCCCCTGATCCGCCAGTGGGAGGGGGTGCACTGTATATGCGCTATATGTACACAAGAATTCATATGAACTTCTAGAGATTCATCTTCACATAGAGTTCATCTATGAATGCTGGGTATTTCCTCCTCTTGCCGTATGAAGAGAAGTAATTTCTTCTGGGTCCTTGACGTAATATAAGTATAAGTAAACAGGCTAAGTGAGTGGCTGTTAACATTTCAAGAAACATATCCAATAAATGAAATTATTATGATATCCCGGGTGTCATACAGATTGAAGGTCTACGTCATTGTAACGTCAATCACGTAAACGTAGACACGAAACAACTGATCAAGACACTCAGATGACCAACCATACAAATATATCGAAAAAACACAAACGGAATCATTTAATAAAAACACATTTTAAAACATCATTATAAAATGATATCAAAACCATATCATTCGGTTTTAAGGATTAGTTCTATTTGGGTAATGGTTTACAAGGATTGCAATGTCATTTATAGTTAGTTAGTCAGTTAAAATAGTTTATGAAAGTCACACACGTATAACAATTAAAATATGTCATTTATATATTTCCCTATTCTCGCTCTTTGTATTTTTCTTATTGGTATTCAAAACAGAGCCTATCGCCATTTTGTCTTTGATAACCATTACGTTCTGATTATCTTCATCCATATTATTTTAATTCTCCAATAACATTCTGTAAATTGATCGGTAATTGAAACGATATGAAATATGATTGTCTGCTACTCCATTCCTCCTTTAAAGGATACCAGATTCTGGTTAATGATCGTATATTTATATTTAGGATTTTTACCAATGAAAACTACAAGGTCAATATTTGTTGTACTGAGAAATGTCACGTACACGTTGGAAGGCGTAACGTGAAGAACATAAATTACCCTGAACACCCATAAGCACAGCACACGACCCTCTTATTATGACGATGATGATTCGTCGGTTCTGTTAAGGACGCGATCTTATCAAGCTCAAATGTAAATCTGAAGAGTTTGATTATGAAACGAATTTCGGTTATAATAGTACTAATATGCAAAAATATATAGATTTGTCCAAAGAACCATATGTTGTTTAAGAGGATAAGATAAGTCGAGCTCTTGGCAAGGGGAAGATAAATGGGCAATAAATAGTATTCAGTATTGATTTTAGGAGCAGAGTATCCAAAGTACAGCTAGCTGCAAGGATTGCGAAATATACCCTCTACATGCGAATGAGCGCGTAGCAAAGGTAGATCAAACAATATAACGATGTCATATTTCTATGAACATTTGTAGTTTGAATGTACATGGTATGTAATGACACTTTCATTCTTTGGGGTGGTTGAATTAATGCAAACAAATGGTATTGATACTAAAATGCTGCCATTTAACACCTTATTATCGACAGTAGTGAATACTATAGCAAGGTACATGTAAACGAAACTACCTTTTATAAATTGATTCCCCATATCCCGACTAGACTAGTCTAGATCCGGATTCTTTAACTCATAGGTAGTTGGATAAAAGGACGGGACGACCTAAAACGGTTAGCGTCTTTCATTTTGTTCAACATTCGGGTAAGAATCTAGTAGATTGATCCAAGAAAATGTAATTCTCTCCGACCCAGAGGTTGTGTAACTCATACGTTTGGCAACATTTTCAAATTCGTGACATTTTAACATAATCTACAAAAGGCTATTGTTCTCCGACGTTTAATTAACCCATTTTGACTCGTATTTAAGACCGATATGATAGCTCTGCTGAGATCAATTACTTCTTCAGACAGAAAGATATATTTAAATAAGACTGTCGATTCCTGGGCTTTGTTGAGTATCAATTTCCTATTTAGATGTACTACTCTGAACGCAGGGTTTACTTATTCTGCCAGTTTTAACAAATCGTCCACTACCTTGGACTTCATTTGCGAAGAAACTTATCGAGGCCAACAGCGAGGCCAAGGTCTAAGGTCAAAATCTAGGTCAAACAAAGTTTTGTTTCTTAGATTCGAGGAACGATTTAACAATATATTATGTGTCTACCCATAATTGATGAAAATAATGCAGCTTTGTAGTTCTGAACCCGAGCTCTAAAGAAGCTCGATGACCCTATTAAGTTTTAAAGATATTACTTATGATACCAATTCTAATGTTTCTAAGATGGAATATTGTTTATGCGGCACTTTGCCTCATATTAACCCAGAACCAATAGCAACATCCCATTGCTATTTTTGTTACCTGAGAATTTGTTTTTCAGATAACATCGTCTTGTCAGATTCTAGTGATTCTAGTATCAGTTAGTGTAGTGCACGGTCGCAAGAAAGCATGGATAACCTGTTTAATATGGAGGCTAGCTACACGTTTTAAGAGAACTTGTAAGTGAATGTAGTATTTTAACTCAAGGGGAGTATTGTTCCCCTCTCAATTTTGAATTCTTCTATTTCCCTCCCTCATACTTTACACTCAATCGGGCAAGTAAATACGAAGGGGAGAACTTCACCAATCCAAGGTCTTTTCTGCATGTTCACGACCAAGTACGACCAAGTACCAACAAAAACCAACATAAGATACACAAAAAGATTGTAAACTGGGACTGGTCGCCAGACTGATGCTGACTGCCTTGTTAACACAACTACCTGCTGCTTATCATTTCATGCTCTTTAAACGTTTTACATTAAGCTGAAATAAACCCGTTGATCTTGAAACTGTTTTTAACAAGTGGTTGCGGAGTTATTCAAGATGATGTCAATAAAATTGTCAAATATTCAAAGGGCAACAATAAAGAATAGAGTGTGATGGGTTAGAAATTAATGTTTGAATTAAAATGTCAATGTGTTCCTTGCGATTCAAAAATATTTAAGATATCTGATTTGAAAAATATTGAGATTCAGAAATGTGCAGATTCATTCAAAATCTATTTAGAGAGAAGTTCTATTAATATATCAAATATATTGGACATAATCCTAGAAATGAAAGCATTCAGAACAATAGAATTTTCTACAAAAAGACATGATAAGAAATGCTTTGAAGATGATATCGCCTAAATGCGAAAAATAGCCAAACTGAGACCCCATGTTACTGTAATGACAACTTTGGAATATTTTACTAGACTAGATAGGTTCCCATTTCGAAATTTGTTCCTATGATACCATTACTCGTTTCTGAAAGTGAACAGGACACTTGTCTAAGTCAAGAAAAGGTCTGCGTTCCAGGCGAACTGCCATTATGTGCTGACTGTGATACAAGGGCAAGGAATCCAAAATCGATGTTTAGCGCTCTACTCGAAAACTACTGATCATTGTGGTTATTGAACTTGAGTGAAATCAATAAATCAATTTTGTAACACGATCCTTAATCAATACGAACACACAATTGCAATAAATACTTACCATCCTGAATAGCTGAACAGGCCTGAGTAGAATGCAAGAGCGATAGATCCAGGATTCAATACAAACGCACAATTGCAATAAATACTTACCATCCTGAATAGCTGAACAGGCCTGAGTAGAATGCAAGAGCGATAGATCCAGGATTCAATACAAACACACAATTGCAATAAATACTTACCATCCTGAATAGCTGAACAGGCCTGAGTAGAACGCAAGAGCGATAGATCCAGGATTCAATACAAACGCACAATTGCAATAAATACTTACCATCCTGAATAGCTGAACAGGCCTGAGTAGAACGCAAGAGCGATAGATCCAGGATTCAATACGAACACACAATTGCAATAAATACTTACCATCCTGAATAGCTGAACAGGCCTGAGTAGAACGCAAGAGCGATAGATCCAGGATTCAATACGAACACACAATTGCAATAAACACTTACCATCCTGAATAGCTGAACAGGCCTGAGTAGAATGCAAGAGCGATAGATCCAGGATTCAATACAAACGCACAATTGCAATAAACACTTACCATCCTGAATAGCTGAACAGGCCTGAGTAGAACGCTAGAGCGATAGATCCAGGATTCAATACAAACGCACAATTGCAATAAATACTTACCATCCTGAATAGCTGAACAGGCCTGAGTAGAACGCAAGAGCGATAGATCCAGGATTCAATACGAACACACAATTGCAATAAATACTTATCATCCTGAATAGCTGAACAGGCCTGAGTAGAACGCAAGAGCGATAGATCCAGGATTCAATACGAACACACAATTGCAATAAACACTTACCATCCTGAATAGCTGAACAGGCCTGAGTAGAATGCAAGAGCGATAGATCCAGGATTCAATACAAACACACAATTGCAATAAATACTTACCATCCTGAATAGCTGAACAGGCCTGAGTAGAACGCAAGAGCGATAGATCCAGGATTCAATACAAACGCACAATTGCAATAAATACTTACCATCCTGAATAGCTGAACAGGCCTGAGTAGAACGCAAGAGCGATAGATCCAGGATTCAATACAAATGCACAATTGCAATAAATACTTACCATCCTGAATAGCTGAACAGGCCTGAGTAGAACGCAAGAGCTATCGATCCAGGATTCAATACAAACACACAATTGCAATAAATACTTACCATCCTGAATAGCTGAACAGGCCTGAGTAGAACGCAAGAGCTATCGATCCAGGATTCAATACAAACACACAATTGCAATAAATACTTACCATCCTGAATAGCTGAACAGGCCTGAGTAGAACGCTAGAGCGATAGATCCAGGATTCAATACAAACGCACAATTGCAATAAACACTTACCATCCTGAATAGCTGAACAGGCCTGAGTAGAATGCAAGAGCGATAGATCCAGGATTCAATACAAACGCACAATTGCAATAAATACTTACCATCCTGAATAGCTGAACAGGCCTGAGTAGAATGCAAGAGCGATAGATCCAGGATTCAATACAAACACACAATTGCAATAAATACTTACCATCCTGAATAGCTGAACAGGCCTGAGTAGAACGCAAGAGCGATAGATCCAGGATTCAATACAAACGCACAATTGCAATAAATACTTACCATCCTGAATAGCTGAACAGGCCTGAGTAGAATGCAAGAGCGATGGATCCAGGATTCAATACAAACACACAATTGCAATAAACACTTACCATCCTGAATAGCTGAACAGGCCTGAGTAGAATGCAAGAGCGATAGATCCAGGATTCAATACAAACGCACAATTGCAATAAATACTTACCATCCTGAATAGCTGAACAGGCCTGAGTAGAATGCAAGAGCGATAGATCCAGGATTCAATACAAACACACAATTGCAATAAACACTTACCATCCTGAATAGCTGAACAGGCCTGAGTAGAATGCAAGAGCGATAGATCCAGGATTCAATACAAACACACAATTGCAATAAATACTTACCATCCTGAATAGCTGAACAGGCCTGAGTAGAACGCTAGAGCGATAGATCCAGGATTCAATACAAACGCACAATTGCAATAAACACTTACCATCCTGAATAGCTGAACAGGCCTGAGTAGAATGCAAGAGCGATAGATCCAGGATTCAATACAAACACACAATTGCAATAAACACTTACCATCCTGAATAGCTGAACAGGCCTGAGTAGAATGCAAGAGCGATAGATCCAGGATTCAATACAAACACACAATTGCAATAAACACTTACCATCCTGAATAGCTGAACAGGCCTGAGTAGAATGCAAGAGCGATAGATCCAGGATTCAATACAAACACACAATTGCAATAAACACTTACCATCCTGAATAGCTGAACAGGCCTGAGTAGAATGCAAGAGCGATGGATCCAGGATTCAATACAAACACACAATTGCAATAAATACTTACCATCCTGAATAGCTGAACAGGCCTGAGTAGAACGCTAGAGCGATAGATCCAGGATTCAATACAAACACACAATTGCAATAAATACTTACCATCCTGAATAGCTGAACAGGCCTGAGTAGAATGCAAGAGCGATAGATCCAGGATTCAATACAAACACACAATTGCAATAAACACTTACCATCCTGAATAGCTGAACAGGCCTGAGTAGAATGCAAGAGCGATAGATCCAGGATTCAATACAAACACACAATTGCAATAAACACTTACCATCCTGAATAGCTGAACAGGCCTGAGTAGAATGCAAGAGCGATAGATCCAGGATTCAATACAAACACACAATTGCAATAAATACTTACCATCCTGAATAGCTGAACAGGCCTGAGTAGAATGCTAGAGCGATAGATCCAGGATTCAATACAAACACACAATTGCAATAAATACTTACCATCCTGAATAGCTGAACAGGCCTGAGTAGAATGCTAGAGCGATAGATCCAGGATTCAATACAAACACACAATTGCAATAAATACTTACCATCCTGAATAGCTGAACAGGCCTGAGTAGAATGCAAGAGCTATAGATCCAGGATTCAATACAAACACACAATTGCAATAAATACTTACCATCCTGAATAGCTGAACAGGCCTGAGTAGAATGCAAGAGCGATAGATCCAGGATTCAATACAAACACACAATTGCAATAAATACTTACCATCCTGAATAGCTGAACAGGCCTGAGTAGAATGCAAGAGCTATAGATCCAGGATTCAATACAAACACACAATTGCAATAAATACTTACCATCCTGAATAGCTGAACAGGCCTGAGTAGAATGCAAGAGCGATAGATCCAGGATTCAATACGAACACACAATTGCAATAAATACTTACCATCCTGAATAGCTGAACAGGCCTGAGTAGAATGCAAGAGCGATAGAACCAGGATTCAATACAAACACACAATTGCAATAAACACTTACCATCCTGAATAGCTGAACAGGCCTGAGTAGAACGCTAGAGCGATAGATCCAGGATTCAATACAAACACACAATTGCAATAAATACTTACCATCCTGAATAGCTGAACAGGCCTGAGTAGAATGCAAGAGCGATAGATCCAGGATTAGTGTTGGAGCCTTCAAATGCATTGTCGAAGTGCTTCGTCTCACCTAGAATGGTGTGGATAAGTTATTAAACATGGTCGGAATATGTACGCGCAAATGCAAACTGGAAAGTATAAAATATTACAGTACACAACAAGAAAAAGAAAATCAGTGATAAGGAAAACAAACCCCAAATATCCCAAATGATAATCCAATCTAGCTAATTTTGGGGCAGGCGAAGCAATTGGCCGACCAAAACAGAAACGGTGAAAGTCGTACCCCACAGTAGCAACATCTTTTATTTTTTCATGGTGTGCCTCTCCTATTTCTGGATACAAACCTAATAGTGATGATATATCCATAATCCCATAATATTCTTGCCAACATAATTCGAAATGTTCAAGATTGTTTTTGCTATATGTAACCCCCACCCTGACAATAACTGACAACTTAAACATATCAGTAATATGATTGGTGTCCCATAGCACGTACCAACCAACCAGATAACAAATAAATGTTTTGTTAAATCTAATCAAATAATATTATGAGTAAAGAGTTGCTTAATGTTGTATCTAATCTAAACCCCACTAGTGCAATATCTTAGTTATAGCGATATATAAGATATTGCATTATATAGATGAACATAACTAATATTAACTATACGCCATTACATCATAGAAGCTTAACTGACCCAAATATTATAAATATTTACACCTATTTTCAAAACAATAACAGGTGCACCTTTCCCCATCAAAATGTAAGTGTAGTTAACACCTAGAAAAGTACATATACCATGCTTAAAATATGTAAATATTCAAAGTTTCTTCTCAATGCGAATTTTAAATCATATATGATTTGTTTCTAGAATGATCTTTTCTGTTCTAGAATGATCATGGTGGGAGACCACGCCCTTCATTTGAAAAAAGATGGGATGATCGAGTACAAGAAGGGAAAAACGAGTATTCCTTTCAATCGCGATTTTGACATATACTATATATATATGCAACATACAAACACACAAATAAATACAAAAGCCATTCATCATAGGATATTGTACAACAAATATATTACCGGAACAGCTGAGTTGCATGACCTGGTATCAGGAGAAATTCATGGAGAAAACAACTCTAAAGGAGTGAATCGGAAAGAGTTTGTTGTTCTTTTTTAAAGTGCGAAAATGGCTGAAGAACCATAGATTATTGATCATTTAAAGCGCTTTACTAAAATTTAGTATGAGGAAGACATGAATAAAATAAAATATTTAAATTCTTTCTATTTGGACTAGTGGTATCAAAAATAAATGGTGGTTATTAATATTTATATTGTATTGTCTGAAGTGTTGGGAGCCGTTGGATTTTGTTTCATTGTGTAGTTGTCCGAAAAGCAAAGGGTCGTGGGTTCGATCCCCAGAAGGGGATTTTTTCACCTAAGTTAGCTCAGGTTTCCTTCAATGTGTTCAATGACGAATAGGTGGGATAGTGGGGATTTGTTTTCCTTGCTATGACTTCGTATGTTTTATTTTCTTTGATTGTTGTAATTCGCTTTGTTTAGGCAACCATTGTTACTTATTATAATAAAATCATGTATACATGGAACATTAGCAAAAGGTATTTTAAAGTGCAAATACCTCTAATCAACTGCACGAGTCCAGTAAAGATCACAGTACAAAGTGCCAATATCTTGATGACTGTGAAGACGTTCTGAACCTTGGTAGCAACATTCACACTGGCGCAGTTCACAAATGTCAGAAGGGCTAAAAAGGAAGAAATATTCAATTTAAAGGTATGCGTATTATATGAACTCAGAGTTATTTTCCAAATTTATGTAGTGTAGAAGATATATGGCATGGTATTTTGACTCGTTACTCGGTTTAACTTGAACTTACCAATTGCTCCCGCAGCCAATAACCGAATGGCAACTTCGGGGGATTGGCAATCCGGAAAAAATGGGTAGACAATGTACTCTGCAAAAGTCAACGCAATTATAGCGTTCGCAGTTGGGGCTGTGATCAGTAAGAATATCCACATGTACAGGAACGCACTGAGGGGGCCAAATGCTTCCTGTAGGTATGCGTACTGTGCCCCTGACTTCGTGATACATGTTCCTAGCTCTGCAAAGCAATGTGCCCCTAAGAGGCACAAGAATCCAGAGAGGGTCCAGACGACCAAGGCCAATCCGATGGACCCGGTCTCAAGAAGGACACCTTTAGGGCTGACGAAGATACCACTGCCAATTATAATACCAGATATAATTGCTACCCCATTGAACAGTCCTAATGACCGTTTTAGATGTATCCCAGAATGCCCAGTTGTGTCCTGTACTTCCGGTGATTCATTGGGTTTCATGGGTAACATCTCTGCTGCGTCCATGGTTACCATTCCGTTCTTTTTATGTGCCCCTGTACCCATCTTGACTGCTTGGTACCTAAAAAATATGTATGCCTCTCAAATATGGACATGTTATTTCAAGTATAACTTGAATTGATAACTGCATGTTTTAATAAAAATTAGAACTAATCAAGAGAAATTATTCAGCCCGCAGATGCTTTTCCAGCAAAGGTTCGTTTAAGGAGGTTGATAAAATTAATTAATTTATCCATTACACACACCAAACTGGCCTATCTTTTCATTGTATATACGGTTAACACGTCAAGTTTAGTTTTCAAAAATGTTATCACCGTGGTACATTATATATTATGTGTATTCTGCATGTTATATTTTTGCTGTTCACTGATCTTTATGTATTTATCTGTAACGGTGATAATGAGACGTCTTTCGATAATGACGCCATCATTAAGCTTCATGAATACTAGAAGTTGTCAAATTCAAAAGCAAAGCTCATCCTTCGTTCAAAGCTTTTCCTTTATTCCTCAATATGGAAAGAAGTGAAATACCCTTGGACCAAGGATGAAAAAGCTTTTCAAGTGAGGTTATGAGTGAAACTTGCATCCCTTACATAAAACATGGACATCATGGTAGATCTCATCTAACTAAAGCTAGCGCGAGATCAAAACACAAGTTCCCATAGCTGTCATAACTTTCGCTCAATCAGAGAACAGTCATACGTTTTGTGTTTCAATACATTGTGTTAATTGAAAGTCTCGAGAAACATTGGAAATTAGAAAATTAAAGTATGTTTTATGAACTTATTGAACGACCTCGTATGTAAGTATAATGCTAAGCACGGAATTGTATATGTCATATTCAAGCATATTCCTTGAGCTTTACCATATGTACTCGTATATGTATCATTTTGGAAATCTTGAATCTAATAAAAATAGTTATAAAATGAAAACGTACTTACGATCATTGTGAATTTAATTGTTTTTATTAATTCATTCAAACATTTTAATGATTAATTTGTTGTGAACTTTCTTTAAGTTACCTTCTGAACCAAGCACTTACTATAATTTGAAAGTACTAATAAAATACAGAGCTATTTTGATTAAAGTTGTTATCAATTAAATATTAAATATATATGTTTTAGTTGTTCAACATCCGGGGAGAATAGTACAGTGTTGTACATATAGATGGGTCTGCGTCATGATCCACGAAAATTAATAATTAATCACACATTTATAATATTTCCTGGGTATTCTGTATGCCAAAAATATAAGTATCAGCGAAATCATTTTTGGTGTACTTGTATTCATTACAATAAATCAATCAATATAACACTAAATCGTTTAAAAGTACATGTATTGTTGCTTACAATTTGACATTTAAAGGAATTGTTAATGAACAATGAATATGCTGTAAAATTCAATAATAAAACTTGTCAAGAATTCAGTAAAATTTAACAATGAAACTTATCGTGAATTTGGATGAATTAAAAGTGAACTTGACACAGTTCCTTACCTTTGTAAATCCAGCACTTAATTGAACCATATTAATTCGAGGTAAAAGTTAAAGTTAATTAAAACTATAATAATTGTGAGACTCTGACAATCAATTGCTAATTTCAAAATATTAAAGAACTTTAGAGGTTCTTTTCTCCACGTGATAGAGGTCTAGGTTTGTGGTATTAGTATTGCGCAGTGCTACTGAGTTCCCAAATCACCTTTAATCCAATTGTTGGGGTGAAGTATTAAATGTTATATCCCCATTCATGTTTTTAGTACTTCATATTTGTATGGATTATGTTATAACTTTGCGCCAAAATGTGAACATAATACATTTAACGAGAGTCTACCTCACATATAATTGATCTTGTGAGAATTTTAAATGTGTTAAAAATGGATGCATGGTACATGGTGCAGATGCGGGTACGTCTGGAAAGAGTGCTTATAATTGGTGGAGACGGAATGACATTTTGTTTAGGACATAAGAATACAATGAAACGTCAACCGCATAGTGCTTTCAACTAATTTCCTTTAAAAAGTTTGGTTCCTGTCATACATCTATGTTTTTGACGGATCAGATAAACAAGGTACATGTACTGAAGTACCATCTTCACAACTATCGAGAGCAATAAATCAAGAAATCAGATTTCATAAATGTAGATTTAAAAAGTATTTGTATTGTAATCTGTCAATTTTCCTTTTGATGTAATGACCAAACCATCGATGTATTATTATGTAATATAAAATGTTTCTATGGTTATTTGGTTGATCAATTATTATTTCACGTTATGGGAAAATACCGATTTCCAGGCTTGCACTTCATGTAAGAAACATTGTTTTAAGGTGTTCTAAGTGCATATGATTTACGAGCACGATGACCCAGCTTTATGTTTTAATGTACACATCATGTCAAATCATTGACAGCAACAGGATGCGTCATGCATTTTCATAGAAAACAAAGGAGGAAATATGTAATTACAACATGTGATATATACGTGTAGACCAAAAAGAAGGTATTTGAACCATCCAGGATCCAAAACCATAAAAGCAAAATTGGATTTTTATATCAGAGTTATATTACATGATCATATCGTTCCCAAAAAGCTGATTCCGACAACATTATCATTTCTGTTTCGATTTTTTTCTGTTTCGATTCGTATTTTTGTTGTTACTAAAAAGGTTATCCCCAATGTTGCATTGGAAAAATATTGCAATTATAGATTAACTTATATATATGTCTTTTATTGACTCTTTAGATGTCATATCATGACATATTAGTCACTAAGGTAAAGCAGTTCTTCCCATTGTCGAGTTGAAGAACTGGTACCTTTATCCTGGCTTTTGATAATGGACAGTTCTAAATTGTTATTCAGATATATGATCGATCTGCCTTGTAGATAGTTGATTCATTAACCGGGGAGCTAATGTCAGGAAAAATCGTGAATCGAACTGGAGAAATTGATTGAGTGGAACAAAATATCACATACACGTACTGCAGATAATTGATAGTGAAATGGATACGTGTTTCTACGTGCAATATAGCACACATTGAACTGGAAGCAGATGTGGAATTTCGAAATAGTTTAAGTGGTCATTTTTAGACTTTTTTGAGTGAGTCATATATTAAACATAATAGTTAAACGTTCATAAGTTTAATTGTTTTGGATAGGGTTTTGTCAATGTATATCGTTTTAGCCAACACTAATACCTTTTAACTGCAATGCATACTGCTTTGGTATATATATACATTAACATATCATTTGTCTTTATCTAGAATTATTAAAAAATGAACATATCACTTGTGATCATATTTTATGGCTCACTCATAATGGTGTAACAAAGAGCAATGCAATCGAAGTATTTCGCAATTTCGCATATGCTTCCAGTCCAATGTATGCTTTCTCGCACGTATGATATAGCGTTTTAAATTATGCATATAAGCTTACGTGGACGCTGATTTCATTTGTTAGATCAACTAAAGTTTTGTTTACTGCGGCTAACTACAATGTACAAAATGTTAAACAAAATTAGATAGCTTCCGAATGTTCAAGTAAGTTATGGTTGATTTAATTCAAAATAGCATTTAATATTGTATAGTTCTGAAATTGAATTTTATGAATTGACTGACTCTCATACAAGCAACCTCAAATCCAGACGACTCATTTCAATCAAAGATGTGTTCACTTGGCTTGCGTAGATTATGACAGTGTGTTCCAATGTAATTTAACTCGTTGTTAAGGAACGTACGAACCAGGTGTGAAAATATAAGTGGTATACCACAAACTCTAGCCTTGCCCAAGTCGTTATTTTTTTACTTATCTGAAATAAGTAAAAGAGACCGACTTGGGCAAGGCTACACAAACTCTTGTATTACGTTAACATGTAAATAACGTTAAAATGCTGCAGGGCTGTGGGCAATTGACTCATTAATCAAATGCCATTACAGTTGTTGCAATTACAGAGAATATAGCATTATTATATGATGGAGAGTATTATATATCGAAATATCACCTCGAGGATAAAAAATATCACACAGCCATAGCCGAGTCATCTGACGTGATCTGATCATTATAGTTTGAGATGTTTGTATCATACTTGCCTTTAATTTGGTGATCCTAGTCAATATTCCATCGAGTGGTGGACATGGGGAACATGTATATACGACATGTAACATTAGGCCTGTGGGCTACAGACTCATCAGTCAAATATTATTACAACCATGGGACTGGTAATATGAAATGCTTACCTTTAATATTGGGTGATCCAAGCCAATGTCTGTGTGGTGAGCGTAGCGGTCCTTGTGTCCAATCAAATCAGTTTGACAATGTTTTGGGGAGTTTTCACTGATTTTTATAATATCAATATGGTGATGTTTTTAAGAACACACAATAAAAAAGTTTTCAAAACAAGAACAAAGTTCCTATTTTCAGCTGCCTTTAAAGTTTTTAAATAAATAGGAAATAAGTCTTTCCTCCAAAATAATTTCGATCTTCTCTGAGGAGGAATTCAGAACGTGGGAATTGAAGACTCTCCAATCGTTTTCAGCAGTCTGATGAACTTCTCCAGATCTTGAAAGCTTTCGTCGTCTATGGTCAGTGATGCTTGCTTTATCATTGTATTGTATCTCATGCGATGTTTATTAGGTAGAATGGTGTTGATATCTCCCGTCGGTCCGAATTCACGGACAGGTACCTTCAATGTTAATTACTTCATCAAATTGAACGCTGTTCCTTCAAATATCCTTGTCTAAATAGTAATCAGATATACTCTGTCTCAAAGTCACTTTTTTAAACAATTCAATTATCAATTATGCGGTGCGCTGCAGAGGTTGTAGACCCACAGCAGGCATCCTGCATTTAGAGTGATCTTCAGTTAATTCGATACTCGTTTTGTTAGAAGCTGCAAACGTTTATTGGATTTGCTGTGATCTAAGTGGTCGATCAGCGAAGACAGGCGGAGCACACCTTCCAACGATTTGCGTATCTAGAATACATACAACATATCAATCATTATTCGCACTTTACATGTAAAACATCGAAACTAAAATAGTTCGTCTGTGTGAGAGGAAGTTGTAGTGATATATTTGCAGAGAGGGAAGATAAATAGACTTGCTATGTTGTTATATATGTCGTTAACAACGTTTAAAGCTTTCTAATCTATTTAAATATTACATAATGGGCTACTTAATGTGAAATTCATTGTTACATTTTATTAAAAATGTTGTTTTGTAAATAATTGAAAAGTATTAAAAGAATTAGGAACTTTTCTGTACAAAATGCCCAATATTTACAAGAATGGGACCTGTACTTAATTCCAAATTGGAATCATTCAGAATTCAGTAAAATTTAACAATGAGACTAATCGTGAATTTGGATGAATTAAAAGTTAACTTGACACAGACGTTCCTTACCTTTGCAAATCCAACACTTATTTGAACCATTTTAGTTCGAGGTAAAAGTTAAAGTTTAAACGTTTAAAGCTTTCTAATCTATTGAAATATTACAGAATGGGCTTCTATCATTTATTGCAACAATATACGTATTAATTTATAAAGGATGTCGTTTTGTAAATAATTGAAAAGTATTAAAAGAATTAGGAACTTTTCTGTACAAAAGGCCCATTATTTACAAGAATGGGACCTGTACTTAATTCCAAATTGGAATTTTATTGATACGTGATGAAAGATGAAATAAAAATTAAAAGTAGCAATTAAGGTTCAGTCAGTCATACCCACCGGCGACCTAGTTTTGAAAATGTGCCAAGACCTACAGACCTATATAGAAGTAGAATTCAAGTTATATGTAACAACAAATGTAGAACAACAACAACGAGGTAATGAGGCTACACCAACCGTGAGACATGATTTATTGACCGACGAATCATGGAGGTACACGTAGAGCTAGAATTGAGAATGATATTGATATGTGACCGGCAGAGTGACCTTGACCTTGAACAAAAAGAAATTCAAAATACCAAAGTTAGCGAACTTGAATCATTCTTTGGAAAATCGAACGGGTGTATTGTTACTAATATCTGTTTTATATGTCTCTGCTAATATAGTATTAATTTATGCAACACTTCTATTCCAAATGTAACAGGTCATTATGCATTGACATTTAAAATGCTAAGTCATATAAAAATGTTACATGTCCTTAAGTTCCTTTATTCATTGCCATGGAAACACATATTGCCAAATATCTGTTGTAACTAATATTATGTGTTCACAATTAAAAGCCATTTCAAAAAGTAAATGTGTAACACTTCTTACAGGCGTCGGTGGCGCTGAATGCAATATCAACGCAAAATGAAAAAGTTTGCAAGATGAATAAACCTTCGACTCTTCCTAAAAGATTGTGGAGTTCTAACTTGCAATTCAAGGAAAATATAAGTGATTTTAGATCATAATCAGCATATGAATGTTCTATGCGAATTACGTAAAGTATCTTGTTTAATGTAATTTGGTAATAAACAAGAATACGAATGTACAACTTCAACAGAATCTCATAAAATCATAGAATTAAGGCCAATATAATGATGACAGGAGTGGTCCATTTTTAGTGAATTCTATCGCCATAGTTACATGTTCCTGAAATCATTAATCAATGCCTAATGTAATGTGATGCTGATGAATCTATGGCATTTCATGATGATTACAGTCTACTGTATTAAATTGACAGTTATACATAAATGTCATGATTTGTTATGATTGTAG